TAAAAGCAGACTCCCCTTGTTTTGTGTGAACCCTTGGTATTTCTAACTGACTCGATCCTAATGATCTGAGTGCTCTGTTAGGTTTATATTCAGTGAACACAGTTTAATACTGTTCTGCACAGTCAATGTGTTGTTGGAAAATACTGTTGTTTTATTGTCATTGCTTCATGCAGCAAAAACAGGAAACAGTCAGACCAACAACCAGTGCATATTTTAATAAAACAAAAGTGAAATCATTAAAAGTCACACAGTCATTTGATAGATCAGTAATCAGCCAGAACTGAACATGTTAGGTTTTTTTAACATCAGTATAAGGTCAAATCTATTAAAAAACCCAAAAGATCATGATTTAGATTGTTGAAGAGCATTTTTTAAAAGATAAAGATTAAATAATGAATAAATAATTATAACATAAAGCCAATATATTGAAGAAAGAGAAGCACATGAAATAAGAACGACTTATGTGTTAATGTCATGCCGTCACTTTCCCTACTGCTGACAGGATTGCTTGCAGTGCATGTGTACGGTTTATTCTGCTGTACTTGAGCAGATGTCAAGAGCAGAACTGGGTTTTTTTCATTCTGGATGATTTTGCCATCTATACATACCAGGATACAGTCAGATCTGTACGCTTTCCAACGTCACAGGAGAGCATCGTCACTAATTGAAACGTCAGATTAGGTTTAGGAGCCTTTGCTGTGACAGAAACATGGTTATTTCCTACTACTGTAACTACTGTAGAGACTCTTATTTTGTAATTATGGTGGTACAAATATTTGTGATCTTACCATAAACGTTAATTTCCTTTTCTCCAGCATCAATCTGTGTTCCTTCAGCATTAAAAACAGTGTATGTATATTTGCCGGTGTTCTTCAGACTAACACTTTCAAATGTTAATGATCCATCATCTTCCATTGTTAGACCTGTTGTGCTTGTCCTGATCGTCCCATTGCTCCTGTGAATGAAGTCACCACTAGAGAGATTGATCCATCTTATCTCACTAGGTGTTTCTTTGTTTCTTTTTTTCTGCAGCTGGATGGTGCAGGACGTTCCCTCTAGTTGCTCTTTTTTGCATGTCTTTAAGACTGTAGTAAGATGATATTACTGTAGCATTTAATACATCTCAACAGGATGCATGCACTCATATGTGGTTTACTATGAGGAATAAACATTATAGAGAATTAATATTTCTCAGGGTGGGTTTCTTTTTAAAAGTCAATTTCTGTTTAGTCACTAACCTTAGACAAAACTATTGTATTCTGCCATTACTGACCTCTGCAACACCACACCAGCAGAGGGAGCCCTCTCCTGAGTACTGACTGTTTACTGCTCCCGCAACGATCTTTTCCTGTTTGGCTGCTATAAAGCTTGACAATCCCTGCGTCCCAATGTGCATACTAGCCACCCTATCTGCCCTAAATAGTATTGAAAATTACTAATATCACATAGAATTTAGGATGGATAGTATGCACATTGTGACGTTTTCAGCCATTGCGAAGTATTGCCACTTTTGCCAGTTCTTAAACTTAAACACTTACATTAGAAATCACTGCTCTGATTATTTTGCATGTCTCTCTTACTTAACACACCTGATTCAGATCAGATTAGAAGAGAGCTCCATGCATGATGTGTTCTGATTGACAGGGTCCCATTACAGTGTTCATTGCGCCCTACTCCCTGAGCACAGGGAAATCAGTTAAAGTTTACTTCACTTCGGAACATTCATTCACGGATTTGCA